TTAAAAGGGTAAAACCGAACATTTTTTGGAAAATGTTAGGGTAAAAACGGACATAAAATTCAACTTTAGTCAAAACCGACAAAACCCTGAAAACTTGAGGGTTTTTATGACATTAGCCCTAATTAATATTTGGAGGGCATGAGTTCATCCCTTTTAGATTGGAGAGAGTGGGTGTGGGAAGAGTGAGTGAAAGCGGGAACCGCACCCAGGAACACCGCATCTTGGGTGTGGTAGGTCATGCAGTTTAGACCACATGGATTGTATGGAAAAAATCTTTCACTTTTTGAGTCACGTCAGTTTTCTTTCACTCTCATTTCCCTCACAAAAAGACAGGAAATTGTGACGTTTCACTTTCTTTTATTTTTTTAAATACATTTTAGGGAAAACTGCAATAAAGTCCGTACATATTGGCCTAATAATCGATTTAGTCCCTATATATTTTTTTTATTCAATTAAGTCTCAAATACCGGTAATCGTATTCAATTTAACCCTTTGACCTGGTCAACAGGTCATCAAACTTTCAAAAATTACATTTTTGGCCCAGATTTCAAAATTTATTACATATTTGGTCCAAAATTTACACTTTTGGCCTTGATTTTAAATTTGTTACAAATTTGGTCCAAACTTTACCCTTTTTGCCCAAATTTTAGAATTTTATTATGAATTCATCCCAACTTTAGTTTTTTTACAACTTTTTTTCTCAAAAAATTGTTTCTAATATGTGTTTCTTTATAAAATCATATTTATACAAAAAAAAAACGTATTTTCACATAAAAATCTTATATTTTCTATATAAAAACCTTTTAAAAAGTTTTTTGTATATGAAATATCTAGTTATAAAAATATGTATTTATTAAGTATATAAATATATACAAATCCGTTTTTATAAAAAAATGTATGCAAAAACGTATTTTACAAAAAAATATATACAAACACCTACACTTATATGTATATATATATTATATATATATATATATATATAATATATATATATATATATATCACAACAAATAGGTGTGTATCTATATTTTTTTTTTATAAAATCGTGTTTGTTTATATATTTTTTTTATAAAAACGTGTTTGAATAATTTTTTATATAATACGTGTTTGTATACATTTTATAAAATCGTGTTTGTATGTATTTTATAAAAACGTGTTTGAATAATTTTTTATATAATACGTGTTTGTATATATTTTATAAAATCGTGTTTGTATACATTTTATAAAATATATACAAACACGTACTATATAAAAAACTATTCAAACACGTTTTTATAAAAAAAAATGTAAACAAACACGATTTTATAAAAAAATATAGATAAAATAGGTGTTTGTATACATTTTTTTGTAAAATACGTTTTTGTATACATTTTTTTTATAAAAACGGATTTGTATATATTTATATACTTATTAAATACCTATTTTTATAACTAGATATTTCATATACAAAAAAACTTTTTTAAAAAGTTTTTATATAGAAAATATAAAATTTTTATGTGAAAATACTTTTCTTTGTATAAATATGATTTTATAAAGAAAAAACATATTAGAAACAATTCTTTGAGAAAAAAAGTTGTAAAAAAAAAACTAAAGTTAGGATGAATTCATAAAAAATTCTAAAAGTTGGGAAAAAAGGGTAAAGTTTGGACCAAATTTGTAACAAAATTTAAAATTTGTGCCAAAAGTGTAAATTTTGGACCAAATTTGTAATAAATTTTGAAATCTGGGCCAAAAATGTAATTTTTGAAAGTTGGATGACCTGTTGACTGGGTCAAAGGGTTAAATTGAATACGATTACCGGTATTTGGGACTTAATTGAATAAAAAAAATATATAGGGACTAAATCGATTATAAGACCAATATGTAGGGACTTTATTACAGTTTTCCCTACATTTTATACAAATATTATATTCATTTTGTAGAGAATTAAAAACCATAAATTTTGATATATTTTTTTATAATTTTTAGTAGATATATAACTCAATAAATATATATAAAAAAAAGACTGACTAATCACACGATGAGAGAGAGTGAAGGATAGGCTTCCCTCATATGGTTTTCCGAGGTGCGAGAACCTTTCCCTCACTCCTTTTTTGCTCCATACCCACCGGCCTTAAGGGTGAAGGGAATCCTCCTCGTATTCTCTATCCTCTCTTAATTGGACAACAGCTTAAAGGATTTTTTTTCTTTTTTTCCTTTGTTTTCAGTTTTTTTAATATTTATTAAATTATATATACTAAAAAATTATAAAAAAAATATATTAAAATTTATGGTTATTAATTCCCTATAAAATGAATATAACATTTGTATAAAATATAATTTTTTTAAAAAATATAAAAGATAGTGAAAGGTAGCAATTTTCTGGCTTTTAGTGAGCGAAAGGTGGATATGTGGAAAAGTGACGTGACATAGAAAAAGTAAGGTGCTGTTTGTTTTTTTGAAGAAAAAATTCATAAAGTCTGCGGACCACCTCTGCAATCCTCTACAGTAGAAGAGGTGGACCAAACGGCTGCAGACCTGTAATAAGAAGCGTGTTTGCTTTTTTAACATATGCATGCTGCTGCAGATATTGAAAAATTTTAAATAAACTAATTTTATAATCCGAAAATAGTTTAGCATAAACTGATTTCAGCAAAAAATAATGATATTTTAACAAAAAATAAAGATATTTTAGCATAAAATAATGATATTTCATCAACAAATTATTATTATTCAATATAAAAAAAAATTGAACAAGAATAAACAAAAAAACAAAAAAAATGTGAAATACGATTTCAGCAATATATAATCAATATTTTAGCAAGAAAAAAAGAAGAAGAGATTGGAAGAGGTAGGAAGATGCAAAACAAATGTTGCGCCAAGAAGAACACGCATAGAAGTTTTTTAATCCGAAGACTTCTGAAAAACAAAGAGCTGCGAGATGAAAAATGTTGCGCCGAAGAGGTCTGAAGATGTTTTTTCAAAAAAAACAAAAAACACCTAAGTGTTGAAATGTGAGTACACCCTCCGGTTTCAATCCCAATTTTTTTTATATTAAAAACAAGTATAGGAAAATTTCGGAAATAAATGCATAAGGATTTGAACATAGAACCTATTTGAATCAACATTAACATGTCAAGACTCAAGAGCCTTAACCATTCAAGCGCATATACGTAACTTTGTTTCTATATGTAAGAAATGTATATCTTAAACGTCAAAAAAACGTTTTTTCTAAAAAAATTGAAAGATCATTGACCTGCACTAACTATCCCTCTTAAGTCTTGTCAATATTTTGTTTAAATTAAAAGTTTTCTTCCTCATAATGAAACAATAATAAAGCTTTACAACAAAGAAAATAATTATAACTCAGAGTTACATCAACATCTAAACTCTAATAATTCTAAGCTAATCATATATCAACTAAAGATCCTTAACAAGGTTTCTTGTCTCGGTCCTTCTTTGATCCTCTAGTCTCTCTATAACAGCTTCAACTTTGGCTATATATTATATACAACAATTGCCACACCAAAGAAACTAGTGTATCACGCGTGTTTAATTTTAGAGTTGTTCACTAAAATGAGCAACACACATGATCCATTTGTAATTGTAGGACATGAACATCACTCATGTATAAGAAAAATATGAAAATGAAATACAATAAATCAAGAAACTTGAAATGCACAGGAGAATGAATTTTGGACTTACCCAGTTCCAGTTCTTAAAATTAGCAACGAATTCTGATTATATATAGTCATTTTAGAATATTTAATTATTTACCTGACTGCTGGATTAACTTCAAGAAATTGGCGAGGCATGGATCCAACAATTCCCATCTGGATTAAGGTTAGGGAAGACTGCTCTGTTGAACAAGCCATCAAATTACCGCGTACAACCTCAATGAGAGCGTCTCCTTCTTCTTTACTCATCACCAACTCAACGCTTTTCCTCTTCGTCGATTTCTTTCCTACATCAACAACAATTGCATCTGTGCATCACACAATTCAACAGACCCTTGACTTGACACCCTACTTTCTCAAAACCCTCTTCTGATTCAACTCATGGGATTGCTGATTCTTTCATGTTCAAGAACGCGTTCAGGAGAATTTTAGTTTGGGAGACGGAGTCGACGACATCGACGTATGTTAGAAAGCAGAACCGGAGAAGTGGCGGGCCATTGAAAACCTAGGGGTGTTTGGGATTGAATTTTTTGCTTTTAGTTTTTTCAAAATGAAAAATCAATAAAAAGATGTTTGGAAACAAATTAATTTTTTTGTCAAAAAAAAAAAAGATAGTTTTAGTTAAGAAATTGTTTTATTTTATTTTTTTTTGGTGACTTTTATCCTTTTTAAAATGTAGATTACATTTAAAAATCAAAAAATACAACTCAAACATTTTTTAAAAATAACTTTTGATTTTTGTCCCTTTAGTTATTAAAAACTAAAGCAATTTTTTTTTTTACAAAAAAAACTTTTGACCGTAAAAAGTAATTTCAAACACCCCCTAAGCTCGCAAATATATATGCTTATTAGTTATTAGTTAACAATCCGGTCTTTTGGAACAGGTTTCAAAAAGTTTGGAGCCGGGTTTTTTTGGATCGGTCCGGACGGTCTCGATCCAGTGTTTTCTTTTCTGGTCCGGTGTTGCAGTTTTATGTGCGTCTTTTCGGTTCGATTTTGATATTATTTGTTGTTTTTGTCCCATCTTTGAGTTTTCCTATTAACAAATGTGTAATTATTACCACACTACAAGAAACGGGACCTATAGGGACGATAATTGTCGTCTCTATAGGTTCCAAAAGTCGTCCCTATAGGTGTCCGGGATGACATGTCGTCCCTATAGCTCTCGTCACCATAGCCCCGTCGCAATAGATCTTAATTGTCGTCACTAAAAAATCGTCGCAATTGGTAGCCTTTGGAGACGATGTGTCGTTCTATTCTGGTTCGTCGCTATAAGTATTTGGTCTCCTTTGATGAATTTATAGAGAAGACAAGTCGTCTCTATAGATTCATCTATAAAAACAACATGTCGTCTTTATAGGTATAGAGACAACTTTTTGTCTCCATAGTTACATATATACAGTCAACACTTACCATATAGCGACATCATGACGTCGTGGTTGATGCATCTGTATAGATGACATGTCGTCTCTATAGGTATGCCCATATAACTACTTTTTTTTTCTTGGGTTTCTGGGTTTGACCACTAGACCTTCTTCTCTTGTCCTTTCGGTATTCAGATTGCCCTTCGAAATCTGAGTAATCATCAAGATCTTCCATTAAGTACCCCACTCTCTGGCCACCCCAAAACCCCTGAATTCATCAAGATTTTAAAATTTAAAAATCTCAAATTATGGAAAAACACCATGGTTTGCTATAAAATGATTCAAATTCGACAAACTGTAAGACCCCATTTTGTTAAACAGGAAAGGACAGAACATAAAAGAACATGACTGTAAGATCCCGTTTGTTAAACAGAACAGGTTGTATTATATTTACCTTAGTTAGGCGTTGTATGCGTGAGGTTGCAGCTTCATGCACCACAACTGTATCGGATACAACTTCAAGTACATCTTCGACCAGCAACGCGTAGGTGCTCACCTGTTATAAATCACACTCTAATTTTCCCATCAAAAGTGAAAAAGGGCAAATAGGTAATTTCAACTACGTGAGAGAGAGACAACCATCTACTTACAAAAAGATCCTCAATGAAAAAATCCGGTAGTGGCGGTTACCTTTATATCTGCAGAGAAATTTGTTACAGTTTTTGTGTAGCCTGCTTTCTTAAGATGAAAGTTCATCCATTTCAATAAGATTTTCTCAGGTGATAATGTTATGAGTTCCTCAACATCCTATAAATAAAACACCATACATATAAACCACATGCTGAAGATTCTCATTAATCCAAAAATAAAAAACAAGGATCAAGAATTACCTCATATTGTATCTGCAATTCCAGAAGTTGAGGTGTCTTTTTAAGGTTGAGATCAGCCAGGAGTTGTATCTACAGGTGCAACCATCATTCTGTTTATGATAACTCATATTGTTTTTTCATGATTGGTTAAATTAAATCGTTAACTTTTGATTTGTATTTATTAGACAAAAGAAAAACCACCTTTATGATTTGAGAAATTAGGCCAAGTACCAAATGAGGCTGCAAAATTGAGGAAGAAAAAGTCAGACAACCTAAACTAAAAGCATCAACTACGGGTTAAAGTGATTATTGTTGTTGTAACTTGAAAAAAAGAAAAAAAAAAGCTTACTCATGCTTCAACTAGATCCTGGCTGCCAACATTGACTACCGTGCAACTTATAGCCTTTGCAGAGTTAGAGATAAGAGTTCATGCAACACACTCAATTCTGATTTCTTCTGTTTCTGGAAATCCTTCATGAAGAGAAGAAAATTAATTAATAATTTAATAATGATGATTATAAATTATAACTTACTGATTGAGCTGAAGAGAGAAACGATGAGTACGTGAAAAAAGAGTGTGCATTAATCCAAAAAGCCCTTGAACAAATCCATACTCTCCACCTTCCTCATATGGCCAAACCTAAAGGGTAAAAAAATCAAAAGGTTGAGGATCCATAAGAGTTAATTGTAAGAAATAGCAAAATTAAAAAAACAAAAGGTTTAAGTATGCCAGAACCTAATCAAACGTTCAAGTGCTAATCCCAGAACCAAAAAACATCACACACAAAAGGACAATTACATGCCTTTCCAGTTTAATTAATTACCAAAGTGGAAATGCATAAATAAATACTATAAATAAGATTAAAAGACCAAAAGTTTCGGCAATGCTATCTAAAACTTGACTCAATAGAAATCAATGCAGCCTACTAATTTGAGAAATCACAAAAAGGGGAATCAAATTCAAAAGTGAGGTGCAAGTTTAGAATGAGAGCTAAGAAGAAGAAGATACATAAATTGATGAAAAAAGGAACAAAATTATAATATCACAATTTGAATATCCATAAAAATATGAAGAGTACAGTGTACAAAAGAGAAGAGCACCCTAAAATGGTCTCAAAAGCAGGAAGTCACTTAGATATTGTTAACGGCAAAATGGTCACAAAAGGAGAAGAGTACACAAAACTCACTAATGGTGCTAACATTGTAAGTTATGAAGCATCAAGAAAGAGAAAAAGGAGAAAAGCAAAGGCTAAATGTGTCATTTTGAATCCCAATGATAATACTTCATCAATTCAAGATCTTCCTGCACAAATGGATACAAATATCACTAAATATTTTTTCTGAAAAACTCGCCATTACCATTGGTAGCATACAAATCCACATCATGAAAACTCATGTTGCCACATCAGCAAAAAAGCTTCTGATTCTTGATTGGGTTTATGCATCTCTGTACACCTAAAAATGTAATCAGGCAGCTTAAAATCCCAAAATTGGATGAAAATAATGGATTTTCTTAAGCAAACGTATGAAATTCTCAACTAGATTTGAGTAAAACAAAAGATTTCAACAATTAAAGTACAGGATTAGCAAGGGTAGCATATTATCAATTCTGAAAACAAAATACCTTTGAATCACAGAAGATAAGCTGGGGAACGAGAAATGGTGATGGAGATTTGCGAATCGATGTGAGAAAATCGCATCCTGAGAGAGCAACTATGAAATCATAGAAAATCACGAGTTAGGGATGGAGACGAAGGAACAAAAAACATAGAAATATGGAGATGCGTATGAGCTTCAACGAACCTGTACAAAAAAATGGAGATTTGCTTGAGTTCTGAAAGCCTTGAACGAACGAGAAATGGAGATGGAGGCGTTAATGAACTCGTGTTAAGGGTTAGGTTAAACACCGGTGGTGAAGGGGGAGACGGATCCTGAGACAAACTAATCGATGAGCTACAGAGAAGTCCGAGACCGGAGACGACCAAGGGGAAACGGATTCTCAGATCATAACCTATGGGGACGACCTATCGCCACTATAACCATAAACAAACGACGTCGTTTTTTTTATTTTCCAACTAAATATATTAATATATATATATATATATATATATATATATATATATATATATATATATATATATATATATATATATATATATTGGGCATAGAAAGCTATGGGAACAAGAAGTCGTCCCTACATGTGTTTCAAGAACGCGCCAACCCGATTTCTTTTCCCGCTTAACATGTTGAGACAAGAAGTCATCCCGGTAGCTTCAAGAGTCAATAAAATTTGGTCAATTCTACGGCGACGACAGGTCGTCCCTATAGGGAGCCTATAGCGATGACACATGTCGTCCCTATAGATCTCGTCCCTATAGGTGTTTATTCTTGTAGTGCCAAAACAATACATTGAGATTTACAAAAAACGATACACTCAATTTTAATAGAGAAATTTTGTAACGCCCGTGTTTCTGGGCTAAGCATTAATGATGATATAATAGTCTAGGTCAACCATTGGAACTCGTTTTGAAATAATAAGAATGAGTTATGTGCTTTAAACTTAATTATTATAATTAAGGATAAAATTAAGTGTCAAAAATAAATAATAGATAAAGTCGATATCTATGAAGAAAGTTGTAGTGGTTAAAACAAGGATTCCGGAGATATAAAGAATACCGAAATCCGAGTTATAACGAAGAAGTTATGACATGTCGAAGTTATGACATGTCGAAGTTTCGCGACAGAACCGACACGACGCTGCGTAATGTAAAAAGTGAATTTACGATAAAGTGCTTTTTAGCCTTAGCGATCTAAAAGAAAGTCGTAGTGTTCGTTAAACCGAGAGCGTTCATAAAAAGAATGTCCAAATCTGACTTCGTATGAGGAAGTTATGATTTTTCTAAGTTTCAGCTTAGTAGTATGCAGCCCGAAACTCGAATTTTAGATCGAGCGATTTTTAGCCGAAACAACCTAAACGAGAATTGAAGATCTTGTTGATTGTGGTTTAACGGTAAAAGACAGACGAAAACGGATGTCGGATGAAGAAGTTATGAATTTTTAACGGACTTTTCCTGTCCCGACCTGTTCAAAATATATCTTTAAAAATAAAGTCAAAATTAGCCGACGGAGTCTAAACGAAAGTTGTAGAGCATAGTCTCACCTACGCGTGGATATAAAGAACGTCAAAAACGGAGTTCGTATGTGAAAGTTACGAGTTTTTGAAGTTTTTGGCACAAACTTCGAGGCTGGTCGGAAGGGTACGCCCAAGGTACTTAGTTCGTACGCCCAGCGTACTCGTGTATGTGAACCAAATTGACCACGTCGCCCAAACCCTCGCATGTGACACGTATCATACGAACTCAACACGTCCGGAGCCACGTTTGCCTCGTACGCCCAACGTACGAGGGTACGCTCAGCGTAACGGCTCGCATCGCAGTACGCCCCGCGTACTTGGCTATTACGCCCAGCGTAATGCTGACCTCGGTTACTATAAATAGAAAGCGAGGCCTCCCGATTTTGTTTACCAAATTTGATCCCCTAATCTCTCTAATTTTGACCCTAACACCCCCCGAAGTCCCGGTATCATTCCCGACACCCGAAGCAAGTTATGAAGCCCCGAAGATCCCGAGAAAAAGAGTTTTCGAGCCGAAACTCTGCCCGCGCGAAGCCCGGTTTTTTGGAAAACATCCCGGTTTTATCAGAAACGATTGTTTTAAGAGACGAGGTGCTGTCCAGTCGTCGTCTTATCAAGTGAGTGTATAGTCACTTTCATCTTACACATAGATATGAAGTATTTTATATAAAATACGTGATATGTGTATATATGTTGTTTGTTTATTCGAGATGGATGTTGAATGAATGTTTTATACAAATTTTAAACTGTATATGTATTTTATATCTACAAATATGTTGGGTAACACATGGGTAGATAAAGAATGAGGGATGAAAGACGGTATAGATGTACGTTTGTAGCTATGGATTTAGTACCGTATAGATGTACGTTGGTAGCTATGGATTTAGTACCGTATAGATGAACATTGGTAGCTATGGATTTAGTACCTTGGCAGCTATGGAATTAGTGCTTGTTGTATAAATCTTGGGCAACGATGGACTTCGTGCCTATTCCTTTGGTTACCTTGGCAGCTATGGACTTAGTGTCTGTTATGTAAATCTCGGGCAGCGATGGACTTCGTGCCTATTCCTTAGGATAATCCTTAGGAATGAATGAGTGATGGATAGATGATTCTTAAGATCTTTAAGAATACAGAAGTTAATGGGGATGGGAAATTGGGTTGATTGTTTGATGTTTAAACATAATAAATTTATTTATTGTGGGTTGAAAACCCTATATGCTCATCAGGCTCCTAAGCCTGACCCACTAAATTTAATTGTATCACAGGTGTCGATACGAAGCTACGTTACACTGAGAGATTAAAGGAGATGTAAAATCACTAGTGTAAATAAATGTAAGTCCTGTTTATGCTTATGTTTTTGTATTGACGATGACATCCCAAATGTTTTAAGATGAATAAAAATACATTTCTTCGGAAATACTTTGATAACGTATTTATCATGTTTTTTCTGGGAACAAATTCCGCAACATTTTTTTAAAAGAATTACTCTGATTTTTATAAAGCATAAACAAAATCGGTCTTTTCTGGCCGTGAAATTGGGGATGTCACAAAATTGGGTAATATGATTATTAATGTGTAACCAACACAAAAATGAAATGTATATAAACTTTGACTTTTTGTCTTTTTTGAGATCGGTCTCGGACCGATCATTTATTTTTTCGGACCGGATCTGGACGATCGCAGGTCGGTCTTTTTTGGGACCATTTTTATTCGGTTTGGTCTCGTTTTAGATCGGTTCGGTCTCGGTCTTTTACCAAGACCGGTCCGAAAACAGTCTTTTTCATTCATGTCTAGTCGCAAACCCAGGAGCCTTTTTTTTATCAAGGTGTGTGGTTGTTTTGTGAATGAAATTGTAGGTAGTGGTCGAGCCCTTATAGGTAGATATAAATGATTTCAATAGGGATGAAAGTGAGTCCAAACCTGGCTCGGATGGACCAGGACCCGAAAAAACCGGAATCGGTTAACGAAATTTTGTAGGACCGGAAACCAGATCGGTATATATGAACCAATTTCGGTTCGGTTTCGGGTATGGTACCGAGTGAAGTGGGTCTAGAACAGAAAAACCCGGAAACATCAAAGTGGGTAAGGTGGAGCCGGGTAAACTGGGTTTAGAACCGGAAAACTCGGAAAAACCGGAAATTTTTGGTAATTACTTGCTACTTAGTAGGTTGAACTTTGAAATTTTTCATATCGATATTTCGACTTCGGGGGACTGTAAGTCATTGAATATGAACCCAAACTTGAAAAAGCTATAGTCTAAAATCATGTAAAACCTCTTAACTACACTTTGGAAAACACCATATATCAATCCGAATTTAAACGAATGAGATACACATGTTTTAACATCTTCACATAATACAAAGTACAAAAAAAAATAGCTGAAAAGTTGAAAATTTTCAGCTTTGATATCCCGATTCGAGGGACTATAATTCATTGGATATTAAACAAAAAATTATAAATTTCTAGTCTAAACTCATGTAGAAACTATAAACTACAAGTTGGGAAAAAACCGCATGTCAATCCAACTTCAAACAAATTAGATATGCATGTTTTAAAATTTTCACAGAATATAAAAAAACTGAAAAACTAAAAACTTACAGCTTTGATATCTCGAATTTGGGAGACTATAAGTCATTTAATATAAACTCAAAATTGACAAAATTATAGTTTAAAATCATGTATAAACTCTAAACTACACTCTGAAAAAAGTTGTATGCTAATCCGACTTTAAACGAATGAGATGTGCATGTTTTAACATTTTCACAGAATACAAAGTACAAAAACAAATAGCTGAAAAGTTGAAAATTTTCCAGCTTTGATATCCCGACTTCGGGGGACTGTAATTTATAGAATATTAAACCAAAATTGACAAAATTATAGTCTAAAGTCATGTACAAACTCTAAACTACAAGTTAGAAAAAAACTTGATGTCAATCCGACTTCAAAACGAATTCCATATGCATGTTTTAAAATTTTCACATAATGTAAAAAAGCTGAAAAACTACCAGATTTGATATCTCGATTTTGGGGTACTGTAAGTCAATGAATATAAAACTAAAAATGAAAAA